TGATTTTGTTAACGATGGTTTTCTCGTAATTTGTTTTAAAATAACTCAAAATGAGTCTGGTTTGGTTTGGGCCTTGGCCCATAATCTTTGTAACACTCAATTTATTCAAGTGTCCTTATTGGTTTTAAAATTAAACAAAATGTGCAAATCTTGAATCCATCTCATTTTAAAAAATTGGCAATGGAAGGTAACATTTTGAGAATATACTGATAATAAAAATCGTACATAAATTTAAAAGAGAAAAACACATGCCTCTGGGGATTTAACAAACTTAATTCTTCTATCTATAAACCCTGAGTTAAACCTAAACTGAAATTTGTAGAAAAAAAACAGAAAAACAAAACAGAGAAAAACAGAGCATTAACTTCCAGATCGAAGCGGCTTGGCTTAGGCTCAGGCTCCACCTACAGTGATCACAGGCTCAGACGTTGATTCTCCAGCTGGAGAAGAAGTAGCAGCAGCAGGAGGAAGAGGAAGTAATCGCTTCTTCTGCGCACGTGGAGGCAAATGCTTCACATGTTTCCTTGAGCTAACCGAAGCCCATGGCAAGAAAACGCCGGTACCACTTGCTGTTCCCATCACACCAGGACTTGGTAGTACCATTGGTTGAACCGGTGGTGGTGCCATCATAACCATTGGAGGACGAAGGACTCCGAGTTTCGGCATCATTTCAATTGAATGATCATAGCCATTGAGAAATGGAGTTGGTGTCATTGCGTAGTGACATGGTTGTTGTTGCCACATTGTCATTACACCGTCGTTTTGAGGACTGTTGGGTTGTGAATGGCTATGATGGTTTGTTTCAGGGCGTACACGAAAGAATGTGATGCTTACTCTTTTGGTTTGTGATGGACACATTACATGCCTTGCCATGTCCGCACTGTTTCCTCTCATCACCAAGAGAGACCTACAAAGATCAAGTCCGAAGGATGTTAACTAAGAGCAAATCGACATTTTGTTGATGAGAATTAAAGGAAGGGTTTTGATGTTTTCTTTACCCTTGTTTGAGAGAAAGCGTTAGAGGTCCCCTGAAGTTGCCTTCGTTGTCACTAGAGAGAATGCGTCCAAAGGCCATTGTTGATTCAGAGAGGACAAGAGTTGAGATGGGTTGTTCAAGATGAGGTGGTTTGAGGAAAGGCTGTGAGTATTCACCCTGCAGACAAAGTGCAATATCCCGAATGTTAAAGAAAAGCGGAAAACATAGCGAAAGGTGATCCATAAAGATATTATATACCTCTTCAAAGAAGTTGATGACACAGCCGTTTGGTCTCTTGTATTCTGGAACAAGTCTCCATGTGACAAAGTGATCAATGACACTCTCAAGAAGTGGTGGAATCGGCTCGATGTTAACTGCAAAACCATCAAAGTCTCTCCTGGTCAAGCCAACAACTTTGCATCAATCCATTTAAACAGAGTCCTGCGAATCAAAGCGATTCCTTACCAGAGTTGTTGCTGTCGTTAGAGTTTTCATCCTTAACATGGCCAAAAATTGGGACACCAAGCTGAATCAGCTCTCTCTTGTTCCCTTTGATCTGTTTGTTGAACATAATATAGCTCTCACCTGTATTCATGATCATGTGTAAGCACCAGAAAACTCTTACAAGTCTTTATAAATGTGTGTTTTCGCGTAAGAAAAAGTCACCTAAAAGCTTCCCGTTCTGACCAGCTTCGCGGAGTTCAGCAACGAAGTCTATCAATTTAGATAACTCATCTTCTTTAAGTAACTCTTCATACAGCTTTAGTCCTTTGACAACATTCACCTGTCGAAAAAGTTTCCATTGAACAGTCAGTTATGATCCATCAAAAGAGTACTCATTTAAGTTAAAGAGAAAAGGTCGAACTTTCACTGGTACTCACAGTGTGACCTCTCACTTGTTCCTTGGCTTGAAAGCCTTTGATAGGCTTAATCTCACATGAACGTGCATCACAATCTTCATGGCTTTGACATATAATCTGTGGTGTTTCCGCAGCAGCAGTTTGATGAACATCTTGATGAGAACCTATTAAACCCATTAAAATCAAAGTTTTTATCCATACTT